AGAAAAATCGCGAATCAGTAAAGAAACTGAGACGAAACGTTAATGAAATGTCAGAAAGATTGATTTCGACCGAACACTGTTTACCGATCACGCTGCGCTTTCACTGTTCCGGATCTGCGTGATACAGGATCGAATCCATAAACGCCTCGATACATATTCGTCATTACACAGCTGACAGCGCGATCCGCGACCATGAAATTAGACGTAATATATATCAGAACAGGGAGAAAGTATTACATATTCGTGTTTGTTATCCGGCGAACGATTAGATTAGATTGTCGGCTCGTCAAAAATGGCAAATTGTACACCGACCAGCGACCTACATTTTATATGGACAGGCGTTCCAAGGAGACATGAAAACGAATAGCCGACGGAACGATCGTATACGGTGGCTCGATTTCCAGGACGAAATAAATCCATCAATTCCAGTCAGGGGTGGATTAAAGATTCACGAAGCCCGGGGCTGAAATGAACACGGGGCCCACTTAAGGGTAGCAAAAAATGATAATTTTGTGAATACAAATTACAACTGTGTTATTATTTTCTCAATTTATTATCGTAAATATTTTTTCTTTCGTACTTATATATAAAAAAGTACAAATTACATTATGTGTGCGCAATATTATTTTCATATTCGAGCTCGCGGGGCTCTTTGGACGTTGGGGCTCAGGGTTAAAGCTCCTGTCAGCCCCCTCCACTTTAATCCGCTCCTGATTCCAGCGATGGGGAAGTGAGTCAGGGCCGGAGACGAGTGCACCGTAAGAAGAGGACCTTGCTTGTATCATTCGACAGACTGGATTCCTGTTCCCCCGACGCAATAATAAATCAACGTTACTCAGAGTTGAAAGTCCCGCAATCGATCTGATCAGAGTCTTAAAAAATATTATCATCTCCTTTCGTCGATCGGGTTGGTTCCACTTGATCATCATCCTAATTACAAACCGATGGAATCCGTTTTTTTCGCGAGCTGCCCGAGGCGAGCAAACTTCACTAATGTAAGGATACCGATCCGGTATAAATATGAAAAAAAACGCGTTCGACTCGCTTTCCATTGTGATCCACCCGCCCGTCGACGTGTAATGGATTCGAGGAGGCAAGAAGACACCCACTTTCTTGCATCTACGCCGCTTCTATTCGTCACACGTCTCCTTGCCGGGGGCGATCGGTCTCGTCCGGACGAAAAACCGGCGGAACGATCAACATTAAACGGATCCGCGTAGCGCCCTTTACTCAGTCCAAGAAAGATAAAAAGAGGATAGCCACGTTTGGTAACGTGGATCTCGTTAATCAGCCTGACAAAATTGACACGCGTCTGTAATCCCGAGGAGAGACTTTCACGATTTTTAAGTTGAAAGTTCTCCGCGTTACACGGACTTTCGAATACTTTCCTGTGGTACACAGAAGAAATTGTACGAGTGCACCGGGCATGAAACAACGGGACGAAGCGGTCGATCGTCTTATTGTTTCCACTCGCCCGGAATTTTGAAAGTTTCCGCGCATCCGGAAACCCACTGGGTCGTTCGTAGACTTTTAACGATTCAACTCGCGATACAATTTACTTCCCCTGTCGCGAAAATTGAATTACTTTATTGAATTATAATTGAATTGAATTACTGGGCGAAAACCCAAGACAATCTTACGAATGATTAATATTGAATTGGCAACTAAATGATTGCGAATTTTGTGAATAGATGGTTTTAGCACATTCTTTTGTTTTGTCAGTGTGTTCAAAGCATTTAGTTTATATTGTTTTCTTGTTATTTAGACTTCCATCTTCAATTAGTAAAAAAATTGTATCGATTAGTTATGTAGTTTCGTTTTTATCCCAGTTTAATAATGGAAGAACGAAACGCACATTTCAAAGATATTTTATTGTATTATTTCCGAAAAGGAACAGCACAAGCATACAAGAAGTTATGTGCCATATATGGGAATGGAGCTTTGAAAGGAAGGCAGTGTCAAAATTGATTTGCCAAATTTCGTTCTGCTGATTTTTTACTAAAAAACGGGCAACGATCCAGTCCAGGATGTGGGCATATTAAGGCCATTGTCGATTCAGATCGTCGTAGCACAACACGTGAGATTGCAGAGAAGTTCAATGTATTGTGCATTCAAAAAGAAGTAAAACAGTTTGGCTATGTTAAGAAACTCGATTTATGGATCCCCCATTAGCTTAAGGAAATTCATTAGACGCAACTATGACTCGTCACACATCTTTGATCACTCGCCAAAAATTATTGGAGTTACATTGGGATGCGTCGTCACATTTGATCCATCATATAGCCTTGACCTTGCGCCTTCAGATTTCCATTTATTTTGTTCCATGCAGAACTCCTTAAATGATAACATTTTTAATGACGCTGCTGATGTAAAATTTCATTTAATTCAGCTTTTTGCTGGTAAAAATCAGAAGTTTCATGAACATAGAATTATGACACTAGATAGCAAAAGGTCATCCATAAAAACGGACAATACCTAATGTAATAAAGTTATATTTTCAAGTAAAAATTCTGAATTTTCATTCTTATTTAGAATCCGCGAACACTTAATTGCCAACCCAATTATTTTTTTAATACAACTGACCTCCTTTGGGATTTGCCGAAATTAAATGTGTTCGCGTGATGAACGAAATTCTGGCGGGTCATGTAAAAAACGAGTTTAGATATTTTTGAAAGGCAGCACTTCGGCGAGATGAGGATAAGACTATTCGATCCCTGATGTGGATTTCTCTCGTTTAGGATCTCGTGATGGAAACCTTTAATAAGAGTGTTGTTCTCGGCGGAAACGTAGAAAGAGTGTGAATAATGACAGAGAGAGGAGACGTGTAATGGAACACCCGAGCGGCAACACCCAATTTATTCAGTTATCCAGAGGAACGCGTAATGACCGGTTGTGTATTTTGAAGACAATTAACCCGTTTCTCTTCTGATCTCTTTCCGCTGGGTGACTAAAAGTACACACGCGTTCCGCGAAACGCTTGTCGTAACTTCGATCCCCTCGGCCGGGGATACATAATTGTGAATGTGAAAGTTCCCGTGCGAACGCGGACCGCGAAATAATTATCTATTTGGGGCTTAATGCGCACCGTGATGTAATGAGATTCCGTGAAGCGTGTAATCTCGAGCCACCGCATGCAAATCTTCCCTTCGTACTTACACTGTTTCCACGAACGATCCCATCGACTCATCGATATTCCCTACGATGACAAATGCTCAGTTCAGAGGAAGACCTGCGATTACTTCTGCAATCACTTGTTCGATCGATTCAATATTTGAATACTAATTATCGTGTAGGTTTCAAAACCTGTCTATTTATGAATCATTACTACATGATAATCCATTTGCAATATCAATGGAATTTCTTTTGTATTTTAAGAACCGTAATATGCGTTTCATTTTTCATATTTTCCGTACATTGTATTTTATGTAAATGCATAAAATTCGCAGTCTAATCGTTGCAAAATATAATATAATTCTCGTGAATAGAAGTAGACTGGGAAAAATAAATTCAGTGAACTTGTAGTTTTAGCAGACGATGTATTCCGTGCCAAAAGCGGTTTATTGAATCAGAGAAAAGCCAAATACGCATATACGTATGCACATACGAATGTTCAATGAAGAAATCATTGCACGTTGGTGCAGTATTTCATGTAAAGGAGAAAAAGTAACGGCAGCCTGGGAGATGGACGTTGGGTGAAAGTGATTATTTTTCTTAGAAATCTTGGCAGTTGATTTCGTCGATGGCAAATTGTCAAGAGATCGTCTGACGGCGCAGACGATAGTTCGTCTTGGCGCACACACCAAGGAGGTATTACTATTAAAGAGACGCAGTTCTCGTATAATCCTTGAGATAGCGAATGGAGCTGACAACTAAAAATACAACTTTTGTATGAAACATTTTTCGCTAGGGTGAAAAGAAATTTTTATAATAAGCAATTTTCTTCATTACTCTTCGACAAAACATTTAAGGGACACAGTCCTATACAAAGAATAATAGATATCTTAATTATAATTATAAAATAAAAAAAATAAACGTATATTAATAGTAAATATTTCATTACTTTAATGTATGTGCTAACAAGTGTTGACATAAGGAAAATATTGATTTAATTCTGATTAATAAATTAATGGAAACAAATCTCAGCATTTTTATTTCGCAATCCTTCACCAAATATGTATACACATGGCGTAGGAACCGAGTTTTCGAATTTCAAACGCACAGAAACCCACTGAATGTATAAATAGTCGAATTCATCTTTACCACTGTCTGCGTCCGAGATGCTCCTGTGGACCTCGAACTCCTTTAAACTCGCCGGCTCGGTCTTTTGATGGGTAACTTCTTTCGAAACCTTGCCTTGGTATTATTTAACGACGTCAAACAGTGTCGGGATAAATAGTTTGTTCTTTAGTCTACGTTTGTTGATCTTTTTTGCCTAACTAAACTCGATCCCCGGAGATACGAGCCTCTGCACTTATCTTTCATTGTCAAATGGAAATTTGAATATATTGGAATAGTTCAATGCAATGTTTGCAAAGAGAGTAGAAAGATCGGTATATATTTCCCTTAAGTGCAACTTAAATAAACGACTATTGAATTTTCTATCAGTATGCAATTAACTTCCACATCTTCGCCATTTTTCCTTATTCGAGGATCTTTCTTGCCTGCTCAATAAGAAATTGTGCAGTTAAACGATACTATCATAGAAATAGTATTTAAATAAAAGAAATTGTCATTTAAGACACATTTTTTAAACTGGTACCATAAATATTTTGAATAAAAATCCGCAGTTTAACTGTGGGATAGAAATGAACGATAAGAATATCCTATTCGTACGCAATCAATTCTCACGTGACGACAATTTTTCTTATTCGACGTCAAGAATCTTTCACAATTGCTCAATAAGAAATAGTACAATTAAACGATACTATCATAAAAACAGTATCTATCAATTTTCAACTATTCAATTTTTAATACTTATAAAGACATTAAAAACTTACATCTATTTTAAATATTTTCTTCTTGACAGTATGTATACAAAATTTGATCTATTGCGGGAAAGAAATGAATGATGAGAGATCGGCTACTATTCTAAGATTTATTTCCTAATGTCGTTACACGTATACCGAAATCGCAAGTTTCGAGCGTGATACCATCAACCCGTTAACATATACGTGCAAAAATAGAATCGTGTAATAAACATCTACTGAATAGGAATGCATCGTTTAAGAACTTATCTAAATAAGAATCGCGGTGCATCGAACCGCGAGCGTATCTCGACTGTTTGGAAGATATCGACAAATTCTATCTAAACACGCGAGATTCTCGCTGTACCGCGAAAGAAAAAGCCTGTTCATGCATATTCGGGCACGAATCTTTATTTCATAGCTCCGTGTGCGCACTCGCCTTCTCCCAGGCTTATTTCGTTTCTCGCTAAAAATACGATGAGATGAGAGAAATTAACGTAAGTACGAGATTAGATTATGAAACACTCTTCTCTTGTATTTTATTTACAATTCCGCCGAGAGCGTACGTCATCACGTTCTTCCGTCTCTCGTGTATAAAGTAAAAATGAAACTCGAACATCGTCTAGCTAGTCTAAACAAAGTGATTTACCATAACTAAAACGAGGCGAGGAATACGCGTCGAGTTTTTGAAGAGATTAATCGGTACGGGATTACAACATTTATAATACAGTCTTGAGACCTGGTGTCGTCGACACGCAGTTTTTCGTTTAATGTATGTTTATTCGGATACGAGCGTAGGTTCCAGACCGCCTTTACCCGATCCTGCGAACCCCTCACGCGTACGTGTATGTGTAATGCGCTAATTAAATTAATTATTAACACTGCGATACCCCAGCCCCCCTAGTGTACGGTGAAAACTTATCCATCTGGCTATAATCGAATTTATCACGCGTTAAAAGGATGGAAACATTGCAAGCCTACACACTCGTTTATCGCGTTACATGTGTAAACAACCTATTATTTTCTTTTTCTTATCAACGAGTTACTCGCGACTCACTCGTGTACAATACCTCCTGTAGACAGCAAGTTTTACGTGACGCAGTAGTACAGAAATCGTATCTTGCATAATTAAAGCTACGATATATTTCTTTTGTAATATGTAATATAATAATAGTAATATACAATATATATCTCTCTGTGTCGTTTCGACAATTTTATATAATGACTATTTACAAATCTTTCTTCTCACCCATCGCCATTGACAACATCGATAATAACTGTAAAACTTTCGCGAAAAATCCTTATAAATAGATTAATTTTAAACGTCATACGAGCTCCTTAAAAACAGTTGGAAAAATCACCCAGAAACGATCGATACCTAGTTATACGACGGTACGATCCAGGATCCAGCTATGCTGTAGTGAACGAAACGACAATGAGAAATCAAACTCGTGAGACTCGAACGATGAATTAGTAAATGAAATGGTAAAACAGTCGTTACGTGCGAACGTGAATTAACTAGAAATGGATGTGAGGTGCTGAACAAAAGTGCATAAAGTTCAGCATAGCTTTTTCATGGTCAATTAAAACATGCTTCCTAATAAAAGAATTAATTGCAAAGTTATTGGTACCGTGTTCAGTGTTGAAGTAGCTATTCTTAAAAGCTATGGACTCGCAAATAAAAAAACATTCAGTAGCATTTATATTTAGTACCGACTGACTATTAAAACGTTCAATTAAAAAATACGCGGCACCCCATCTTATCCTTAGTACGCTTCTCATAGAAGAGCTCAGTTTTGACATTCGATCCTTCAGGACTTCACGTCTAGTAGAATATTTGAAATATTCCGATCAGTGATTTTATCTTTAGCCTCGCTTAAAATTAATACAAGTATGCCTTCGCAATCTAATTCTTGTCGTATCTACGATCGCACAGTCAATTTCCTGTTTTGGCATACGTTGCATAATGATAAAACAATTTATAATTCGTCAGTTTGACTTGACGAAAATTAAACAATACTCGAAAGCAGGAGATTTTTAATTCGATTTCCCTCGTCATTTCTATCAAAGTTTACTGTAATCAAAAATGATAAAAAATATGTATCCGATCCGATTTACTGTTACTGAGGCACCTTTACTAGGACAGTTCTCGTGCCCTCAGAATCGGAAATGTTGATCTTCAGCTCGTTGGTCAACGCCTCGAGCTTGTCCACCACCTTGGCGTTCTTCTGCCCGCCCGGATTCGGCGGTGGCCAGACGTCGTCCAAAGGTGGTTCGATGTATTTCTTTCCCGATTTGATCGTGCCTTCCTGCTTTCCGCAAAGCGTACCACCTACGTGATTCGAGGACGAGACGCACTTCGGTTCGATGTCCATGCGAGGACGTTTGTAAAGGGGCGCCTGGATCGCCGGACTGTAATCGTGATCCAGCAATCCCTCGACCTCCTGCAGCAATTCCTCACCGTATTGCTGTAGTTCCTCGTCCATCATCTGTTTCGTATACAACAGAGTTCGCGAACGGCCTAAAACAAATAAATCTCGAAATAATACATTTGAAATAATTAATTATTGTAATATGTAAAACTATTAAAATTTGAATGCTTTTCATTTAAGGGCTTATACGATTTTAAGATATTTCAAATACTTTAATATTCGATTATTTACAACAAAAAAGAAGTTAAGTTCAATTTAGAAATCGCTAAAAACGTAAAATGTCCTCAAGGTTTCACTGTTATTTTACGTAGACACATGTTTTTAGAACATTTATCAGCTCGCACATAGTTATCACCCGTGCAAAAGTAATTACCACCGATAAAACGTTGCGTCGCTGCGGTCAATCATCGTCGTTGCATCTAATCTAATGTTCGGCTTTAGCCGGTCCGAGTCCGAGGTTTCGTAATCGTCGCGGAGAAAACTGGTTACGAAGCACCCCACGTAAATGTATAGGTAAGCGCGAACGGTCCTAAGGCGCTGGCCTTTGAATTTTAATGAAGTTCAATGACATCACCGGATTCCCATTATGTCTACCACGAGAAAACCCCGACACGCTAATAAGAAGTTATATCTCAAGATTACGTGAAAAAAACTTAAAATCTTATACAAGGCATCCGGTCCATAAAACTAGATAGAAGTTTCCAATTTCCAACTGAATTTGTATTATAAAATTAAAAAAAAAAATACCATAAAGCATCTGCAATTTATCACTTGCCTTAATAAACTAAAGTTAGGACATAAATTTTGTTACGCAATATAATCTAAAGTTAGAACAATGGACTGGATCGAGAAAGCGTTCAATCCAGCGAGAAGGGATTCGAGCTTTCTTGCCCTCGTTTAGAAAGTAGCTGAGCAACTTTGGCCCGATCTGATATAGTTACCCCGCTCCGATTTCACCATACCGGTGTTAATATCGATCCCATACCGATTGCTTTCGAAACACCGTGTTCGTCGCTTTATCGAGATTTATCGTAGGCTTGATAAACCGTCGGGAACAATCTTTGGACAAACAAACTTCTCTCGTTCGATAGAACTGATCTAATTGAATAGATAGAACAAAATGAATAGATCCAGAATGTATGGAAAGCGTGCATCGATTTGGAAATGAAAATTATGAAGAAATACTACTTGACTCTGTTATTTTAGTAATTTGCAACGTAATAGAATTAATAATGCAAACCCAATCTGTTTCGCAATCATAAATACCACTGATAGCGTATCGTTCCTCGCTATTTTTTTCATGGCGCAAGCTTAATCGCTCTCTGTCACTGGAATTTGTTGTTCAAGCGTTTTATGATACAATACAATGCGTCGTTTAAACAGTTCAATTAACAAAGTAATGCAAATCCAAACAGACAAATTAATCGATCGATTACAAAATGAATTGAAAAACAGACAGATTTTTAAATATTTAAATAGCATCCTTCAAGTTACGAAGTTACGAGCGTGATTCACCTAACACTGGTCAATTATCTGGGGTTAGCTAATCGTATTTCGAGATAATAAGTAATTATTATTATGCGCCCAGCGTCTCGTCCCTGACTCCGTCTACTTCTGCTAAGCGTATATTCCTGTCAAAATCAAGGCCGTTTTTATCAATCTGTGTTTGTCGTAGCCTTGTAAATGATTTCTTCGCGCTCATTGAAATGCCGATTACATGCGAAAATATTATATTTCGAAGTCGTGGAAAAATAAACTTGAGTCTGAGTTATCAAATAAATTACACGATAAGGATTGCCCATAGCCGTTTTACGAAGGCGTGAATAAAATTCACGAACGAGGGGGAAAAAATGATTTGCTTCGCCGTCTCATTTTTCGTGGCGGTAAGAAAAATTCAGTCGAGGTGCAACAAACCGCAGCACGTGAAAGCAGCGCGAGGAAAAAATATTTAACAGGGCTGTGCCTTTCAAGAATGCGTAGGGTTCAATGTTCCGGGCCACGGTCTCTGCTATCGCGTCCGTTCGGCTTGTGTAACCACCGAATATAACGGTCCAAAAAGGTGCAGCGAACGTGCCGTTATTAGTCATGCTATCTTTCCTTACTCAGTATAAAAATAATTGAATGATTAATTAGAAAGTTTCCGTTCGTCTACAATTATTTTTCTAATTAAAAAGGAACGTTTGAAAGTATCAGTCGTGAAAGTGAATTCAATTAATGATCCTTAGTTTTATACCGTTGGATTCAATTTTGTCTTTGATCAAAATTATAATATAATAAAAATAAAGAGAATATTTTTTAAACCCTTCAATGAGAAACAAATTCATTGGCCTGTGGCATTAATATTTGACTGAAGAGGCACTTACCCGCCAAGGGCGGCATCTTCTCCGGCTGTTCCTGTTCCTGCGTGAGCTCGTTATTAGAATTGGAGTGCGGCCGGAGATTCGGCACAGCGACGAGGGCCAGGGAGAGCAGTAAAACCATCAGACAAGTGGCGGGTTGGGCACTCTTGTTGCCCTTTTGCAAAAGTGCCTGGAGCCTCTTGAGCTGCCCGGCGAGGCTCTGATTCTGCGACTGGAGCGCCTTGATGCGTTTCAACAGCGTCATGTTCTCCTCGGTGCACTGTTTCACGCGATCCTCCAGCCCATCGACGTACTCCTTTTTCCTTTTCCGCGAATCCTGGGCCGAGATTTTGTTGCGAATCTTCCTCCTGATCCTCTTCAGCTCGCGTTCCTCGTGCTTCGTCAACGGGTAATGCGTGGGCAACGTGATACCTTCCTTCTGTAGCAAACGCTTCTCTTCAGCGTTCAGTTTTAGTCTCGGGTACGGAGAGTCCGATTCTGAAATCTCGTCGCTCGAATTGCAACCCATTTCGCTGCTCGAGTCCTCTTGCTTGATGGTCATCTGTAAAGCGACAGTCGCTTCGTTCAAATTTCACTTCGTCAAAAGCTATACTTAAGATTGTATAAATCTTTAGAAGCATTGGAATTTTAACAGTTATTAAAGATTTCATTCGTATTTCATTACCTGAACTGGCTTGTTAATTATGTTCGCCTGATTGATCTTGAACCCTTTCAGATTTTTCGCTTGCGAGGCGTTGATGATTTTTATCGTTCGCACCTCCTTCATATCTTTCAGGGTCACTGGCAATAGGATCGATCTTGGATTTCCGGAACCCATCGGCGTAACGCGTATCAACTGTCTGATATTCCGTTTCCCGTTACAAGTGATATTACGCACGTTTATTGTGTTGTTTTCCTGAGGTGCAATATGAATTTGCGTCGGTGTTTTTTCTAAAACAAACAAAATCATTTCATTATATTATCGTTTCTTTAATTTTTCTTCGATTCCCTATCTTAACAGTCTCGTTAAATTCAGATAAATATTATCTTCTTTAATTTAGGTATGATAAATGTCCAAATATCGGCATCTGTTCAAACCGTACTCTACCCGCAGAACTTCAACTATTCACCAATGGGAATAGGTTTCGTCATGCTGAGCGAACAATGAGCATGACGCATTCTGTGGCATACATTCTTTTAGATTTGCCTCGCTTGCCGCGCAATTATTATTCCTCGACTGTAGCAACAGGCACGTGTTTAAACTAGGGGAATCTAAACTTCCATGTAAAATTCTATCAGTTCGACTAGACATAGGTCGATGTCCTTTTAATTAAAGCCCACTTTTATTACCAATGCAAATAATAACAGGAACAATGTAGAAGAATTTCGTCTCAAAAAATATTTCTTAATATCTAAATTCCTTATTGCTAAAAAGAATCAATTCCTACCCAAGTCAACGACCGGCTGCTCTGCCAAGATAGTTTCATTGGAATCTGCGAAAGTGTCGTTCGGATTAACAACAGTCACGAGTGTCTGTTCGACGTCCATTTCCTCGGCGATGTCCGTGGCAGGTGAACCAATGTTCGATCTAATCGGGCTGTCCATTGATTGATTAGGACTGCCCAGAGAATCGAAGTCCATGATGTCCTGCGGGCTGTTCACTTCGGAGTTGCTGATTTCCACCTGGTCCTCCTCGATGGGCAGCAACGGACTCAATTGTTGTTCGCATGAGAGGCTCAACGCACTCGACAGTCCGCTGTCCGACGAGGAGGACGGAATCTCCTCCAAATCATTTTCAATCAGATTGAACTGATTGTCTTCTAACTTCAAGAAGGAGTCTAGGAAGTCGTCCGCGTTCGTCGGCCATTCCTCCGCCTTTAAACAAACGGAGAAAATATTTTGTAACGTGCAACACACTATGTCAGGAATGGGAGACATTCTTCGTATGAAAGACTATTTTCTAAAATAGTCGAAAGGCAGCATCCATCGAACTACTACTTACAAAGTAAAATATACTTATTTACAATAACAGCATACTCAAGTATATTTTATATCAGCACAAAATTTACAAATTTAATTAAAAAGATAATAAATATATTTCCAAATTGTCATCGAAATGAAAATTTATTCCAATTATTTTACATTTATTCCCTGAATTATTTATGAATAAATAGAAAANGAAAAAGTTCACAAATAAATTCAACAGTAGTTCCAAAAGAAGATATATAAAACGGGATCTTAATTTTATAAAAAAGAATCTTTATGATATTATTTTCTCTGAATTCAATTAATTCCACCTTAAGCAACAATAATTGCATCTTTTTCTAGTATAAAGACAAATGAGGGTTCACAGAAAATATTAGAAAGATGCAGGCTCTTCATCTCTGCATCAGAGTTATAGTGTGGTTCTCTCGGGTGTACTTTATTTTCTCAATCATGCACGCGGGAGTGGATGAAGTTTGTTTTTTTTACTTGAGTACGATCATGTTTGTTAGCTTGTTGAACGTACAGGGCTCGCGCATAGCGTCCCATTTAGAACAGATTATTGACCCTGTCGCGTATACGTTTGGTTTGATCAGATGCGGCGGTTAGCTTTATAAAGCTCATGTAGGAAATGAGAATAACAGCTTCTGGCAATGCGTGCTCTACTTAGATAAGACTGGAAGTTAAGCTAATTAGTTTAGCGAAGCTTGAAAAATGGCCATTCGCGTATGGAACTTGTAAGTACGCGCGCAATTCTCGGCTAGTACTTACGAATCAAGCATTTGGCTGATACCGGGTAACCCAGTTTCCAAGATGGTAAATATAGTCACACAGCTGTAACACTGGTTTACTCGAATTTTACAGTTCCTCGTTACTGGCAAGTCCAAAACGACCTCGCATGATTCTACCATTCATTCTTTTGTAACGAAGTACCGATATAAAACAATGAGCCAAACATTGGAACACATGTTCACTCGAATTTTACAATATAAAAGAATGTACGTGTGGATCAACCGCTGTCGCACTAGTTTACTTCAATTTTCAGTTCCTTATTATTTGCATAATTTTAAGATTTATTTTTCTGGTGCAAAATAGTTGATGCGAAAACAATAGCACGTGTGATTGTAATTGCTGCGCCACTGCTTTATTACTTCGATTTTACAATTGCTGTTATTTGCCAATGAAAAAGGACTCTCATGATTGTACGATTTATTCTTTTGTAACACAATCCTGGATATAAAAAAGTCACACGTTTGAGTCAACTACCCCACTACTCGAATTTTACAACATAAAAAGTATATGGGTCAACTACTATGACACTGATCTCGAATCTTACAATTCCTGTTACTCGCCAGTAAAAAAGATCTCGATTTATTTTCCTGTAATAAAAAATATCTCACGTGTGATTGTTATTATCCCACCTTTGGCGTTCAACGTGAATTCTAAAAATAAGTCTGAACTAACTTAAAATATTCGAAAATCCTCCGAATCATTTAATAAAAAGATAAAAGTGTTGTTTTGGTCTTTGCCATTCGCGACCTTCCATTTTGATTATCATGGAAATTAGGTAAAACAATTATGCGAGCGCATAAACAATCGTGCCGGTCGGCGGATTGTTTCCTACGAGAATGGCCGGCCAGTATTTTTTGATAACTATTCGGAAAGGAGTCCCGTAACCTAACGGGATACCCCATTCTCTCGAAGGTCGCTGGCCATGATGAGTACGTACGTTCGCATCTACGTTCTGATTCCATTGCACAAAGCCTGCTTATGTACATTTATCCCGTGACGGTCTAATAAAAGTAGTCAACAACAATCAGGATACAAGTAATCAGTTTCTGTAAAGCTAACTCATGGTCAGGGCAAAAAAGAATGTTAATAATACTACCTAGATTCGACGAGTCGGTCGATCGTTCAAGATAGAATGGATAATTAAATAATAGAAGCAAGAAGCGGCGTTATAGTTAGCCGGCACGTGTGTTGTTCCGTTCCATATGTTACAAAAAGTATCAATTGGTTACATAATAGTGACATCTGCATACATATTTCCTGTTAATCGAATAAGATAAACGACTCGGGTATACTCGAGACTTTGGAAGACTCGAAGGAAAAAACAAGTTGTGCAGATGACGTCTGTCTTGATAGATAGATAATCCAACTATCGATTACCTGTAGCCAATAATTCTTTTAATTTTATCCCGTCCGGTTGGCTCTATTTTTGATGGACGGGGAATTATCTAAGAAGAAGGCGATAAGGCACGGTTAACGATAGATTTATTGATATCGAGCGGCAAGTGCACGAGCGCGCCGACACGTGGGTGCCGCCTGCATACGCACCATATGTTAACGAGAATTAACGGCGAGTGCTTGAATAACGGGAACCCCCGGTCAAACGTTCTAACAATTTCCAATGAATGCGTAAACATTGAAAACATCAAACCAATTAATCATTCGAGACTAGAAAAATGTTTATTACAACTAGAATTAATTTTACTGATAACTAAAACGATTTACATGATTTAATTCTGTAAGTTTGAATTGCATTAATTAACGATTACAAACATTTGTGTTTAGATGTTTTATTAGATTAGATATTTTTAATACATATATCAGTTATGTATAATATAATTAATATCGAAGACTGTTTTGTGATTTCAACGATGAATCGCATGATATGAAAGTGGCACAGCGGTGAAATGTACCATCACTTTTCGCGACCGCCGGCACGGTGAACGGGAATCGCGCGGCTTTTTCGGAGCTGCGATGAAAACCAGAGCACAAAGAACGGTTCTGATTAACCTGGAGCACTAGACGGTTAAAGTGCACCAATGTAAGTTTCGTACGATAAAACGTGAATCTTAGTTCCCAGTCGATACCATACTTTCAGCATTCAGAGACAGCATTGCGTAAAGCATGAGTCGATGTTTGAAAAGGTTTCGCTGGCCTTGAGACTTACGTTTTCCTCATTAACATTTCGGTAAATAGTGATAAAATTCGGTTATCTTTGGGGAATATCCTATCGTACGACTATGGACTGAGATTTTAATTACATAAAGTGAGTTATTTTCAGTCCGTATTCCGGGAACTGGGAAAGCGTTAACAAGCCAGATACCCCGAATGCCTATTCAAGAAATGTTACAATCATTCTTGTTCGCCGTACACAAGCCTACGTGCATACATGCATAAAAAAGGAACTCGTTTTCTCGCAGTCATCGAAGAGAACCCGTTCGAAAGGATGACTCGAGTGGGAAAAAAAACGCCGCGGGAAGAATAGAAAAGCATGCGTTCCGTAGGACTCACCGCGATGGCGTCGTCGGTGTAGCTCTGGTCTATGAAAGGCTCGTCTTTAATGTCGCCTTTAAAGAGCGCGTCCTCCCGCGGGAAGAGGAGATTCATCAGATTCATGTCCGACGACGACATACCGAGCACGCTTCGTGATTGTGACATTCGGCGACCGTACCGCTACGTATCACTGTGTACGTGAGCCCGTTATCGATGCACCCACTACTCTCCCATGAAAAGACACTGTTCATGTGCACTGCACCGACGTTGCACCTATTTAGACGCGACGCAGCACGCCCGGACAGTCGGCTGCTAAACGAGTAAAAGAGCCCGTCACTCGTCACGAATGGACGGCGGACCCAGAGGTTCTCGCCCCACCCTGAGGAAACTCGCAGCACCCAGAGCTGAAGAGCGAGAGAGAAGAGGCAGACCGGTTTTTTTCGGAGCTCTCTGTCCTCTGGACTATATACCTACTACTCCATGGCGCCTTTGCTTTTTTTCTCTCTCTCTTCTATACGCGCACTTAACACACCCGCGATGATCCGCAAATCGTATATCAGATTTTTAAACGATTGCGTATGCCTGATCGGGTGCTCGTTAAACAGCACCATATACACCCGAGCAACTACGTTTTCCACGAGGAAAACGCGAATGCCCGATTCGCGGACGGTGCACTGTCAATTCAACTGCCAGCGTGGCAGTATGTGCGTCACGCGAGCGCATTACTTCGCGGAGTACCCATTGGTCGGAGTCGCTTCCGAGATCCGCGGCGTCCGGGTTGAATCTAGTTTTAGGAATGATGAAATGATCGGGTTTATTGAGGTGAATTCTTTGGGAATTTGGATAGTATCTCATTTGTCAGTCATGCGAATCAGTAAACACAAAAGAGATAAATTAATTCCAGTCAAATCAACATATTCTTAATCAATAAGTTATGCACTTACAATGAGTGACGATGTTTGTAATTCTAATCATATTCTCTGATTCTATATTTATTTCTAGACAGAACTAGACAAGGGCAATTTGAAAAAAATTTAATGATTAATTGATATTCAGGAAAACAGTATAACAGAATATTGCAGGCGTTGCTAAAACGCTATTCTGTTGCATCAGATAAATCTGTCTGAATATCTACGGCTATCGTATAATAACATCTACGAGAATGAGTCATGATTTGAAATTCATATATATGGCCACTTACAGATATATTAAATAAAAAATGGAAAATGAAATCCTGAGAATTTTAAATGCAAGAATGAAAAGAATTATCCTTACTTGAAATAAAGACACATCTTTTTTATTTCAATAGTAATTTCGTGATGCATTCATTCGCTTCTTCATAAATGTTATAATAAGAATTAAAAGTACATATAAACTCTGATTTAGTAGTCAGTTTATCTTCTTTCTCTTGTAAAATCCATGTACACTTGGAATTTAGGATTTCTGTAATATAAACATTAAAAGAATTCAATATTTATTAAATGTATTTTAATATTTTAATTTTACAAACACGTACATGAATATACATATAGTAGTACAGTCCAGCTGCTATAAGAATTGCGATAAAAGTCATGAAACTCCATCCCTTCCAGGCATAGAACGGAGTCCCGTATGCTGCCCTCCTCGTACAGACCCCCATTATTCTTTGGTTTCTCGTAACCTTGTTATAAAACTCCTATAACTTGTTTGAATAACACATCATAATTTATTTTTTAACACTTTTAAATTTCATACGGATCGAAAGACATTGAGCTTTATGGGATGCGCTTGAATGAAAACATTATTTTTATCGTTGTTTCTAAGAGCAATGGAAATTAGACAAATCTGATAATTTGATAAATCATATGATTATTTAGAAACTTGGACCATGAAGCGGGTTCCGCATTAGATATCGATTATTCCTTTGATATACGAAGCAACGAACTAAACCCGAACCTGAATGAATTCACGATCATTCACGATGTTCACGATGGTGTTGATCATAAGTCGGTGAGAGAGTTATTTAGTAGAGGCGGATCGAAAATATGCCAGTTATAACAGTCTCGTAACGAATTAAATGATCTCTGAAATGAAGTAAATGTATTAAATAATAATTTATTCGAAACTCAACGTTCAGATGAAAACAATTTATTTTAAATTCGATGTATTGGCGAGGTTATGCATTGAATGGTTGCAATCAGTTATGTACAATTCTTATTCTGACAGAGGCAATTGACGATGTTGCAGACGCTACTTAAATAGAAGAAATTATGTGTAATCTCCTAACGTCAGCTATGGAGACTAAAGTAACTAGTAAGACCAGCAGCTTGAAAGCTTTGCTGTTAAGGGCTTGGAGGGAACGTTGGAGTGACTTACAATGGGGCATCAATATAAAAACTGTAAGTGAACATCTCTATGGGGTATAGAATTAACTACGAATTGTTCTTTTACATACTTCTTGATTCTTATAGATTTTACCAAGAGGTGTCAGTGGAGATGTATATAATTTAGCAGATTGTATATTACAACAAGCCTTAGTCGGACTCGGTCCAAATCAATTAGTATTATCGTACTTGAAACACTCTCTAAGTTCTCAGGTATGTCAAATTCATCAGTGTTAAATTATAATACTAGATTGGGGATGTTTAGGCAAAATAAGACATTTATGGTATCGATGAGTTTCAGATAAATATTTGTTTTATTCTTAAAACATTGGAATGTGCATACAGCAGTTGATATTCTACATAGTTTTATACATTACACATAGTATTTCTATATAAAATCCGCTGTCGATGTATTACATTTCATACATACATATCTCCAATTAGCGGCGAAATTTCAAGTTTCTTACTTTGCCATTTAAGAACAGGCTCAATACAAAATTTTAATAAATCAGTGTTTACGAATTTATTTCGATCTGCAGATTCTCGTAATTTTCATTTTTAGTTGGTCTCCTACGCTGCTGTGTTGCAACGAATAAGCAAATACGATGCTTTCCATAAGCCCCATTGCATCGTGAGCCTCCTAGAATTTTTAGAATCGATCCAAGTAGGGATAACGTGTCGCGGAAAACCGGAAGAAGATCTCCTCGCAGCTGCCGTATTATCAATAGTACATTGGCTGTTACAGTGTTATTTATACACGTTAACTAAAATGCCACAGAATAGCCCGTTAACTCCCCAGCCGACGAAATTAATGGACAAACCTGCGAGTATATTAAAGCAGATGCTCAGTTCCGATTTCCTCTGTGCGATGATGTACTTAGCCAAGTATGATGACAAAGATTTGTACATAGAAGTTGTGAAGAAGTGTCAGGAGATCGAAGCGTTATTAAAAACCAGTAGCTTAAAGTCTTCTGTTCCGATAGAAGACTCGTTGAAGAAACTGTGCAATCTAGAAGTCGACTGTTTAGCTCTTTCGCCTGAAATGACTCAAATGGAATCTATCACTTACTGCCTGCAGCCGTTGTTCGCGGCTCAAGTGTTGATTAATCCGAGTACCGAGACGTCTGTGTTTGTCAATCAGATGCTGATGGTCCAGAGACTGAAGAATTACACGAACCCTAGACTGTACTGCGAGATAATTCGCGCCTGCTTGATGTGCCTGCACAACGTGGCGCCGAGCACGATGGAGCAATCACAATGGGGCGCGATCCTGTTTCTTAAATTACCAAATATTTTGAAAGAATTGCAAACGATACACTCGAACGGCGACGAGAAATCGGAGTACTCGCAGGATGTTCTGGATGCGTTTGAATTATTACTGCATTTGACTCCGCTATTGGATAAAGTGGACAGTGCCTGTTCCTGCAACTCTGTGGAATGTTTGTTAAACGCGTTGCAGAAGTTGAATCTGGTTACGGAGAAACAGGCGAAACAGTTGAGTAGCCGGAGAGAAGGCGTGCTGGCGAGTTTGCCGAAGTTAGAATCGTCGACACCGTCGCCTTGCATCCCAAAAGTAATGTCCCGTGCGGAGGCAACATTAGCCGGTCTCCTGAAAACTCTGAACGCGGATTATACGAAGATTCACGAAGCATTGCTCGGTATGCTGTGCCAGATTCTAAGTGGCAAAAGCTTCGAGTTAATGCTGGCGGTGGCTAATGTCGAGGGCAAGATGAAAACGTTCGTTACCAAGTTAATTAAGTTCAACGAGGGCAGCAAACAGATCGCCGAACCTGTTTCGCAGTCGACGAAAAATGTAGCAACGAGGGCGATGCTGTTTGAGATATCATTCCTCATGTTATGTTCCATCGTGCAAATCTACGGGCCCGATGTGAGTTCGGAGCAGATTTATTTGAGATAATTCGTTGGGCAATTATCCAATAATCAGTGATCCTTTTGCAGGTAGTTTTAGAAGAAGGAGGAGGAGGTGATTCCTTTTTCGAGCAATGGGTACGCGAGTGCATGCCCGCGCGGGACCAACCGAAGTCCCCTCAAAAGATACTGCAAAACGTCGATCCCGCGAGGGTCGATGCATTGTTGGCACAGATCAATTCTCCAGAGCCTGATTTTAAATCGAGCAACATAAAATGGCACATCGCTTGCCAGTCGGCAATGGGGGTTGTGAAGGAGCTTCTCTTCGCGTGGGAGGGTGACATGCTCGGAGCTAGCGACGTTAAAAGAGCCCTAGACGGTCTAAGGGCGATCGCTTGCTGCTTGCCGGTTTGCGCGGCTGCCTGGCTCTGCGCGTACATGAGCATCACTCATCAGGACGCTCTTCTAAAGCCGATGAACATGGTCCAGCACTTTCTGACGCCGGTTCCAGGAGACGAGTTGCAAGACTACCTTAAAGAACGGTTAGTAGGAAATTAATTATTGCTCGCCAAATTCTAAGTTAGCAACAATATTTCTTTGATAGGTCGCATTTGATGTCTCAGATCATTCGCAAGATGCAGTGCGACGTCCACCCGCCGCCCTTATCGAAAACGAAAGCTGTTTCCATGTCTCACAAGTTCGTATCAACTTTTGTAAATCATTGACTTTTCAGATAATTTTTATAACTGTTTTACACAGTATCATATCGAGACAGCCAGTGTTAGAGCAATTGCAGAGCGTTTGGAGAAGTATAAATCAAACCGGCTGGATAAGTATCCCTGCGATACAGTCTTTGGAATCTTTACTAAACACCGGTGGTTCCTTATGGTTCGTCACGAATATAGTGAGAGAAGTACTGAAGTATCGTTATCAGGTGGAATTGGCCCATGCCGTAGATCTGGCGTTTGCTATTTTCCATCTCGACATCGAGAACTGTACCTTAGATCTCATTCAACATATCATTCCACAATATTTATACAACTCGTTGCAGTACGTCTGAACTTATTACGATTAATAGTAAAGAATCTGTACGTAGTTTAATTGCTGAGTTTTAAATTCGTTTCAGAAGTGAGGAGCTTGTAGAACCTCAGTCTTCGATATTAGCGAAGCTTTGCGTATATTGTATATTTTCCACGTTAGAGTATCACAATTCGAACCCTTGCCGCGGGAACAATCGAAAACGAGTACGCCGAGATTTGGACGCGGAAGAGCTCGACGCCCTAGGCGTACCGGCGAATAAGATTTTACGATTGAACGAGACAGGAGACGGTAACCCGATATTCGGTTCGCAAAGCCCGCAAGCTCAAGGGCAGACCAACGGACAGAAATCGGTTGTGCTCAGGGAACCCCTTATGTCAGCGATGAACGGATTGTTCACCATATTCACATTTCTCGCTGGTAGGGACGGCGAAGTGTCGCAGCAGACTCATTTCATACTTCAATTTCTACGTCTGATGGTGCAGTGCGGGAAAGATAGGACACGGATAGTATTACAAGGAATGCCGCAGACGCTGGTGAATTATATGCTTTCAACTTTTCTACGTCCGGTTATATTCACTTCGGCTAATTATAATTTAATTTTATTTTAAAGGTACCTTGTCTTTTGAAGGCGCTGCCCGAATTGTTCACGACTGATATACTGTTAAGATTTTACGATGTCCAGACAGCGGCTGGGAGAAAAGCGACGGCCCGTGATTTGTGTATGCTAAGGAACATCAGTCTGAAACCTTCGAAGTAATTTATACTTAGAAGTAAGTATACACGATAGTCAGATGTTGATTGTATAATTACTTTTCAAATACACGAATTTAATAAAAAAAATGTCTCGTGCTCCCTTTGAGAATTTCAGGCTCGTAAAAGATCAGACGCACAGTATTGAAAAAAGGTAATTCTTCCTTATACTTTATTCCTTTTACCTTCTTTAGACATATAAACACTTTTTGTCAAATTACTATAAATTACGCTTAACCGTAGTATGTATGTACATAAATGTTACAGTGAATTCTTCGAGGTGACGATTTTTATACACAATATTGACATGCGTACGCATTGTAATTAATGTGAGCAGGTAAATGATTAAAATATTTCTATGGTTTCTACATGATATTTACACGGTTTACGATGATTCTCGAGATCGAAGACACGTCTATACGAAGCAATTAAAAGGAAATCCAACGTATAAAGAACATGTACGATCGTAACTGTATCTCATAATTCTAAACAACTGTACAAATTATGAGATTCAGAGATTTCACAAACTTCCTCTGTATTTTTTCACATTGGAAGCATAAGTAGGCCCGATCTTAAGAGAAGAAGACGCAGTTTTATAGCCATGGATGCCAAGACGGATCCATCCTGCACAAGTTATCGTGACTATTAGCGGCTGCGACTAGTGTGCTGACTTTACTGTCGGTTCCATCGAAATTCGCCAACGAATTCAACCTAGCGACGATCGCGTTAACTGCTCGCGTGACCATTGTTATTAGAAGCTCGCCTTTCATGTCTGTAGGTGTCTGCGATGCGTTTTCTGCGTCCTCTTGCTTCTTGTTATGATCAGCGATCACTTCATCTCGGAGAATCGCGCGGAGAATCGTGTGCACTTTGAATGATGGTTGAACTAAACAACGTGCTGTCGCAATGGCACTCGCGGTCAATGGTCCGGAAACACCTGGACACGACAATTAAGACAGTAAAGAATATAGCTTAAAAAATTATGGCATCATGAAATTTGCATCGCTTAAACTTGGACAATTTTCGACACTTTCATAACGTCATAACTTCGTTGAGTGATGTATAATAATAAATTATAATGATACGAACCTGTACTGGTAAGGAACTCTAGGATGTTAGGTGTTAACCGGAAAGGAACTGGTCTGTTGGCGTCTAACTCGCCGGACGTGTCATCGACGTCAAACTTAAAGTAAGCAATGTTGATCAAACCCGAGTCCTGATGGACGTACATCATGTCCGGATTCAACCTCGTCAGATGAAGCACATACTCCGCAAAGCAAGCCAAAGATAATTGCAAAGTAAACTGTAAACGTAATTTGAAATATTAATAATTTTAGATTTCAAAAGTAATTATTAAACTGCGGATATTTATGCAAGCTGAAACGTCTGTGCCAATAGTTAAAAAGGTGTTCTTTTATCATTAAAACATTGCATTTTATAATTTCTGCACATTCCGCTTCATTATAAATGCATAAAATCTACTGCCTATTATTACTGGTGTGAAGTATTACTATTTTTCTGAAGGTCCAATAGTCCGTGGCGCCCGGGAAGGTTTTCACTGCCCAGTCTTTCAACATTGTCTTTGCCACCATCGTCGTTTGCACTTCTTTCAGTATATCCCTCAGAACTTGATGACTGGCTTGCGCGCCTCGCGCCTGCACCGTCGCCAATCGGTCGTAGTACCTCGCAATAGGGGCGTCGTGTTCTATACCTAATTTCGCACAGCCTTGTTTGTAAATGTCAAGCAACGAGACCGAGGCGGGGTTGTCTTCTACCAGCCGCATTTGCGGTGAGACCGCGACCACCCTGGGCACTGTGAAATGTAGAAATCTTCTCGAAGTCTCCTTCTGTTTAGCCAAATAGTGATTTAACATTCGTAATAATTGCAAAACGCGTTCCTCGCGTCTCGCGTCTCCTAATCCAGCGTCGTTTACGACTAAGTAAGGGTACAGCCGTCCATTGTGGCCACGAATTCTTAATCTCCTAGCTGCCGTGTTGTGTCGTTGCACTACTTCGACCCTCGGCATGAACCTGGCTATCCTCACGTAATAATGAGAGTGTTTGGGTAGGAGGAATTCGCCTGGGAGCTCGACTTCGGCAGTTTTTAAACTGAAGTTGCTTAGAAATCGACACTTCTCTTCAATTAAGAAGGACCTATTAAGAACATAATAGATGTTAAAGCTTCTAATTAAATGTTTCCTGGTATACGAGACTTCTTTCTGATACTTGCTTTGGTAATTGCTTCGTTTTCCCTTCGAGAATCTTGATCCACTTCTTCAGCTTGCTGATTAGATTGTGCAGCAGCCTCGCCCCGGGAACCGTGAAGTCGAAGTCGCTCTTGAACTGTCCCTTCATTTTCTGGAACACCGGGTCCTGAACGGTGGCTTGAGCTCTGCGTGCCAGAGATTCTGAAGCCGCCGAGCCGAACGTGTTGTTCACGTTTTGAGACGAGGATATGTTTTCTAGGATTCGGAAAATCCTCCTTACACTCTATCTTTCACGAATAATCGTCCGAACTCCGACGACGGATACTTACCGATTCCTATCCCGAACGTCGAGACCAGTTTCTTGACGAAATTTAACGTGTGCGGTGTTATCGTTGCCTCGCTCACCGCGCCACGATTTTCGAATGCTATCGCGTAGCATTTCGCCAGACCTTGCCTCAGCTGCCTCAAGACTTCTTCGTACCACGTCTCTCGGAACCAGACCATCTGAAACCAGAATATTCACACGAAATGTATAGAAGAGATAAATGTAGAAGTTTACATAAATATACTATTCAAAAATATTATGGCCGTATGGCCGAAATTGCCTATGTTAAGATAATTACTCAGTTCGATGGACAATTCTTTTAAATATACAAACCTGATCGACGATTCCTTCTAAGCTGGACAATATAGTAGGATGGATGTCCCTCTGCATATGCATGATCTTGGAACACCTCCACATGGGTGGCGTAGCCCTAATCGGCCCCGTCTCAGGTACTCCTTGTTGTTGCACATTCCCCGCGGCTCCGCGACCTTCTTCTTGATTTTTCCCAGCAGCCAATTCTGCGCTCTTGTACCTCTCGCGTTGTTCGATCTTCAACGTGAGGTACAAAGTCCTAATCGAGAAGTACACAGCCTGAGGAAACATCCTCCCGACTTGACTGAGTAAATTCAGAATGACGTTCCCCTCGTGCCTGACCAAGCACATCAGCAACTGAGGTATCCACGGCAGCCACTGAATCGGTGGAACCCCGACAGCATATTTATCCACGGCTTCCATCAGAGACGATTTATCATCATCGTACGTGAGTAACCAGAGAACCTTCGCCAAATATTTTCTGGATTTCGATTCGTTCTGATGTCTGCACGCGTGAAGGAAGCAAGTGATCGCAGAGATTCCGATGGATATTTGTCGGGCGTCTCGCGTGAAGATAGACTCCAGGTAATCTCCCCACAGTGCCCAGGCTTTCACCAAGGTGTCGTGCAGTTGCACTGCCGCGGAGAAAGCTTTGTTCGCGTCGTCAGATCGACCTAATTGCGACAACAACATTCCCTTCAAAGCGTAGAATTCCGCGGTCATTTCCTTGGTGAAGTATCGTAAATTCGTCGACTCGATCACTTCTAGACCTTCCTGCAGCTCGTTCTTCCCACTGACCGAGGCCATCTGCAGGTAACACTTCACCTGCTGTCTGATTTTCTGGAAACAGTCGACGATAGGCACGCTGGGAATCGTGTAAATCCTTGATAGGGAGTCCAAGCACACGCCGCAGAGATTATGCTTCCTAGCTATCTTCCCGAAGTGGATTATAGCTTGGACAGAGGCGTGCACTCCGAGCATTGAGTGATTCGTTGTTTGATCCTGCTGGGAGTCGTAGTGACTCGAGATGAAGGTGTAGTGATGTTGTCGCCAGGTAAAAATATCCGACCAATGACTCAGGTCGTCGGCTATCACAGGCAACCGGTTTCTCCAAGTCTTCACAATGGCTTTCATATCGTGCAACGACGTGCTCCGCCGCGCTTCGTGCAACAATCCCTGATGAATCTGCATCGCTTCTTGGAGTTCCATTATCTGTTGAGCTGCCTGAAGCAATGGTAGGTGTACGTGGCTCACTATGTGAGGCAACCTTCGCCATTCACGCATACAAAGGCCAGAAGCTAGTTCTACGTAGCGTTCCACGGTGTTCAGATGTTGATCTTCACTGTTGCATATTGTCAGGAAGCCTCGGTACAGATTCACCTACAAAAATTAATTCATTTATAAAAATGTAAATATCACATTGACTGAAAAGTTCGTTCCGATTTTTGATGGGTCAGATCAGGACAGGTTTTAGTATATCAGAATGATTGAAAACAATGATATGTACATATTTCACGGAGTTCTGTAGTATATAGATTTAAACAGACTTCCATTTAATATAGAAATATATATAGGAATCTGAGATATATTCAAAGAATAAACGACTTTGATTAATTAGTAAAAGACAAATATCGCAATACCTTCCAGGCCATCTCCTTTGGGCAATTATGCTCGACCTGAGCAAGAGCTTCCTTCATCATACTCCAGTTAGGAATTCGCCATGAGCTCTCTAATATCAGAAAAGGATTCTTTTCCGCTTTCTTGCTACCGTAATCCAGTAACAGGTCCCACTGATTCAGTTCCTTCGCACATCTTATCCAATGGTGTTCCCACAACATAGCTTCCCGTTGTATTTTAAACGGAGCCGGCGTAGATACGTAATCTTGTTTGAATTTGGTCATCGCGACGTCATAAGCGCCCTGAGCTTGTTCGAAGAATCCTTGCTGCTCCAAAGCGGTGGCTTGCAACGTCTCTTTGTAATGAGCGTGCTTTTGCCAAAGACCGGACCACATATCTTCCTCGCACAGCAAGGAGTACATATCCGACAAGGAGTCCATAATTTCAGCATGAGGACTGCTGTCAGGCTCGAAGTCGTAGCAATCCGATTCTCGTTTTATCTTAAACTGATTGTTCCCGTTGTCGAACGCCATTTGCTCTAAACTCAGGGTCATCCTGTGCCAAAGATTGTGAGACCTGCCTAAGTATTTCATCAACGCTGGTCTCATCGGCACCGGCGGGTTGCAATGCGAAATCGCCTCGACGAACGTTGCTATAGCGCTAGGATGACAATCCTTCTGTATAACATGTGTCCCGCTGCAGATAAACGGGACCACTTCAGCGATCAAAGTATTGTGCTGGTGTTCGTCGAGGATACTCCAAATTCTCGGGAAAGTATCTAGCCAAACGCGTTCAGCCAAATTTGTATCCATGTGGCAGAGCTGTGCCGTAGCCAATAATAATTGCTCGGTTTTAGTCTTCTTCGCGCATTCTATAAACTCTCCTTGTTTGGCAATCAACTGCGGCAGCGTTATCTTTCCGGTGAAGATCATTTCTTCGGTAAGGTTTGTAGGATCCACGTTTGATAAATCTATGTCTAGAATCTCGTCCTTTATGTCCACGGACTCCGGAGGGTCCTGAGGTTCTTCTTTTATGGAAGAGTACAACATGAAATTTTTCCGCTCCTCGCTGTCTGCCATGCTTATCACTGAAGTGACGCTCGGCAATAAAGTGTCCTGATTAGACATTTGTATTTGCGTAGTCGAATTAGCAGTGACGAGTAGCAGTTCGATGCATTGCTTGATCCAATAGTGAGGACCTATCGCGTCCCAACTTTGGCTGCAGATGATGTACAGGAGTCTGTCGTGCAATCGTCGCCTCATCGAGCCATCGAATACCTCGAAGAATTTCGCTCGTATCTGCGGTTGAACGCATCTCAGGCCAGAGAGAAACGCGGGTTCTAATTTCGAAGTTAATTCAGAAGATTTCAGAGTCTCATCCCTGTAGATATAATTGACCAGTTCCAAAAATTGTCTGTTCAACTCCAGGTCATCGGGGAACCGTTTCTCCACGTATTGCATCATCTTGACCAGAAGGATCGATTTTTCTCGAAGGCTGGGCGCCTGATTCATCGCAATCGGATTTTTATTCTTCATCCACTCCTCAAGCATTTTCGTAATAGCTTTCATAACTTTGATGTCCTGCGTTTTCTCGATCAAGCCAACCAGGATAGAACCAATGAAGGATTTTCTCATTTCTACGCCCATTACGACCACGCGATTTTTGACAAGGTCTAAACTCAGAATTAATAACTCGCTACCGACGGGATTGGCTTCTGCCTGAGCCGAAAGTAGGTGATCTTTAGCCATTCTATGGAGAACTCTCATGAACGGAGTTATTAATCGATCGATGTAACTCGGATTATTCGTACAAGCAGCTTTCAACATCATCAAAGTACCGAACAAAGTACTTGGAGTAGCCGTAGTGTTCTTTTCGTACGTCGCCAATCCGTCGACTACAAATTTGCCAACGGTTGTATACAAGGTGTCCAATTCTTCGTATTTGGATGCGACCGTCGACGAAGTTGGCTCAGCAGGGAAGATAGTCATCAAACGAGACAGTAGACCGTGAACCAAACGAATTACTTTGGTATTGCTGCTCGCTATGCAGGCACCTATGCCTCTCTGCAAAGGCTTGAAGCTCGCCAATATTTGCTCCCTCTTCATAACACCCAATAAGAACGTTAATACTTCCAGAGCTGTTGAGATGTTGCCGTAGTTCGGTTGAGCACTGTCGACGCTAGCCAGCACTTTATCCAGCCAAGCTAACTTAAGATCGCATGACTGTGGCCAGACGTCGGGCTTCAAGGCCATTTTCAAAAGAGCTACGCAACGTCTCGACAGTTGTTCTCCAGGATTTCCATGAACCGTGGTGACGTCGTTCACCTGACAAGCTAATCGAAGCAAGAAATTCAGAATCGCGTCTGCATGATTCCTTTCAATAGGCTTCGTCGAGCCTGGCTCTATTCTTGGTAAAATTACGGGAACCGCCGCACTTCCAGTGGCCGCTTGAGAGGTCATTCGCTTGGTACCACTCGCATCTTCGTTCGTCGGAACGGAACGTTTAACGGAACCTGCCATAGATTTATTACTAGTAGGATCGTTACTTTCCGCCTCGTCTTTGATCCTGTGCAATTCCCATTTGATAATCACTTCCGCCAGTTCGACGGCCAGCCTCCTGTGTTCTATAGTAGCCGTCGGACTAAATCCCAGTCTTTGAATTGAGTTCACAATGTGCTGAACCAAGTGGTGCCTGACGGGATAGTATACTTTATAGTGTCTGACTACTAATTGAAGAATATGGAACAACTGTTGCATAGAATGCCCCTCCTCGACGATGATTTTCTTAGTCCAATGAGTCAACATAGTATTACCATCCTCCATCCTAACAGGCATCGCGGGGGTCAAGATTTCCAGCGCCTGCCTCACGACGTTCCTCGCATCGAGAGCGTGAGCTTTGATTAGACTGTGGAAAACTTGAAGAACTATTCTCTTGTGAATGGCGAACTTCGCGATTATGTGACTGAGGAGTAGATGGCCGTGATATCTGGTCGTCGGATCGACGCAGTTCTTGCCTAGGAGGCATGGCCAGGCGAAAGCCATCAACCTCCGCAATTTATTCCCCTGCCTTTTATTGCTGACGTCGTGAATATGCTGCAAAGCTTGCTCGACGAAAAGACAGGAAAATTGCAGCAATGAGATACGAACGCAGTCTGCGGAACCAAACGGATTATCTGGATCAATGACCTTACTGATGAACACGGAAACCACGTTTTCCGGATTGTCCTGGTAAGGCATGGGCGCTCCTCCGATCAATTTCGTACCCTCGCCCCTCTCAAAGCTCACGGCGAAGCAGGGGATTACTATCAACTGCAATACGTTGGCTTTTAACTCTTGAGACAAATTATTTGTAGGGAAGTGATCAACGAATCTGAAGAAGGCGCTTCGCTTCCACTCGACCGTGTACTCCTGAGCAACTGTGTGCTCTAAGAAGTCTCTCAGGAATTGAAAGTCGGGAATGAATCGGTCGCAAGTCGCTCTCAACAATTGAAATAGTAAATCGATGTCGTTTGGATGGTGACGAAAATAGTGCAACAAGATCTTCACAATAAGTTTAGGTTCCTTCCAGTGGCAATATTCAACGCTTTCTACTTTCTTATGCAATGCTTGGTACTCGTCGTTGCACCAGATTTGCTTCAGTGCACCGACTAATTGACTTTGGGTCGACAGCCACTGATCATCGAATTTAATCAATATAGCGATAATTTTGATAGCTTGGTGCTGAAGCTCGCTTTTCTCGCTGTGGGTCAGGTTCGAATTCGTCTGGGAATGAGCAAGCAGCATGGTTATCAATCTCGCCGTGCTGTTATGCAAAACGTCACGAAACGGTTTCCCATCTTTTTGCTTGATAAGAAACTCCAAGTATCTACTCCACTGTTGATCCTTGATATTGTTATCATGCAAAAATAGATTTAACGTGTCCGTTGGGTATCGTAACAAGAATTTCATCAAAGGGATACGAAACGGGCTGGACACTTCGACCATCAACGATTTTTCCGTTTGCAAAACGAGTCGACAGAGTATATCAATGAACACTGGAGTCGCAGCAGGAATCTCGTGGAAGATCCCAATGATCGTAGCTATTTTCTGCTCGTTCTCACCGGATTTGGAAATCCCCTTGTGCGTTTGGATTAAATTTTCCAAGAGCTTTTTCAAATGCTGTAACAGCTGCTCGCAAAGAGCGGTGCTGAACGTGCTTGGGAACAGCTGCGTCAAATACGAAAGTCTTTTAACGCAATTCAAGCTTAAATTCCTGTGATCGCCCAGAGTCAACAGCATAGGCCTCATGATAGCGTGAACTGACTGCATATCGATTTGGAAGCCAGCTATGAACTTCTGCATACACTCGAAGGCGGCCTCTTGCAATTCGGCGTTCGGTTTTTCCAGAGCTTTATATAGAACCCCGAAAATTCTTTCTCTACAAGATACAATGTAATGACACGCGGCTAGAGCCCTCAGAGCTGATTTTCTGAGTGGTATCAGATTGGAAACGGACTTGTAGCAAGGTAGCTTGTTCAGATTGGCATCCTCCGCTTCGCTGAGCGCTAAGAGCTCTTGGAAGAAGACGTCGTGCTCTGTGAGATCTATCGTAAATAAACGCGGGTTCAGCGTTGTGCAAAACGTGTTTCCATCTATCAGACCGATCTGAGCATTGGCTGGCTGATGTCTCAGCAAATGTTTCTTGGGCGGAATCATATCCGCCAAGACTTCCTTATGTGGCTCCATTACCTCGGTCACGGTCTTACTCTGTATCTCGGCGAGAAGCCTCAACGAAGCCATAGCTTGTTCTCTTACTAAAGTATGTGGCGACGTTACTTGTCTCACTAATTCGTGAGTGACTTCGTATAAGCTTTTATTTTGAGCCTCGATCAGTTCCGTGTTTCCATCTTGAATTCCAGGGTTCACGCAGACCCTCAACATCTTCTCCAAGTTCGCCTTCGCCATATCTATAGCTCCGTTCGACACTTCCTCCGTTAAATCCATCATCACGAACATTAGCGCTTTTAAGAACACGAAGAGATGATTCAGAACCCATTTCGTTGCCATTCTTTCGAATAGGAACTTGATCGCGATGCAGCCACCTAGTTTAGCGTACCAAGCACGCTCGTAGCAAAGGGAACACATTTTCTCAGCCAAATATTCCATTAAAGGCAACTGACAGGCTCTTTCTTTTGATCCAAGAATACTGGTCGCAGTTTCAAGAATCAAAACGAGGGACAGATGTCCGGCTTTGTATAATTCTTTTTCCTCGTGACCCATAATCACGGCCAAAGCGTCGATGAGAACTAAAGGATCTTGACCCTGCATGCGGATTTGCTTCCCAGTTAAGCAGAAAGGGCCAGCTTGTTGCGCTATAGCCACCATAGTATAGTGCCTCACGATTGATACGACTGTGTCTATCACCGAGGATCTCAATTCTTTAATCTCTGACGCAACGAATAATCCGGTTAAAGCTGTTTGCTGAACGTTCCTCGCGACAGCGTCGGGGCACTGGTAGTGAGGACCGCGTTGATGCGGGATCTTCCCTTCTTTGAAACTGGGATGCGTCAGCAATTTATGTAAAACGGCGTTATTGTCGTCTAAACGTAACGAGACAGACAAGTAGCAATTAATCACCTCCCAGCACTGTCGACGATAAAACGAATCCGTGCTGTTGGACTTTAAGGCATTGAAAGCAGTTTCGATTACTTTTTCCACTGGGAAATCTATTGGCTTGGTAGGTTCTTGGAAATACACGACGACGGCTGGCGAGTTCGTCTCTCGGTCATTATAATCGAGTTTCTGTGGTTCGATCATCATTTTCCTGTTGCCACCGCCGAATTTACCGAGAACGCGGAATGCGACGTGCGCTTGGTCCGTCGGATTGTGTAACGTTCTCCACAACGCTTGCATCAAATCAGCTCGCACCGGTTGTATATGCTCATAAAGGAAATCAGGTTGAAGATTGTCCACGCACAACTCGAGAGTCCGTAACCCTTGACTGACTAAGCTGTAGCTCCCGTTCAAAGCTGAGACCAAAGGATCCATCAGCATTGGGAGGTAAGGAAGAAGCGAACTGAGTCTCACAGGTACCGTCAGACACAACTCGACGAACAAATCTTTCATATGCTGTCTGTGCAAACCCGACTGCAATCTATTCAATCCTTCCAACATATTCGGGAGTAGGGGTAAAAATTCCTGATACAAGAGATCGTGAGAACCACCACCGATGGATCTGAATAGAGCTCTCAGTAAAAGGAAATAGTTATAAGGTTCCTTCGCCGACATGGCTAGTTCTATAGCTCGATTCACGATCTGATTCAAGTGCGGCCTGAGCATGTGTTCGTTCTCAGCGGGGAAGAGAGACACGCTGCCGAACACCAGTTTGAACAGTCTCAGATACAAGTTGCTCCTCTCGACGTTCGAGCCCATGTCACCCATTCTCTCTAATAAATACTCGACTAATATCGTTGCGAACGTGGACGATATCGTCGGGCTGGATAAAAAGGCACTTCCGATAATCTGTAACGCGCAATTCTTGAAGATCCTCTCGACCATGTAGTCGATTGACGTCGAGAATATTTCTTGGAATGTCTGCGGGTTCATCTGAGTAAAAACGTTTCCGAAAAGCTCCAACACTTCCTTCTCCTCCCGCGTCCGTATCGTCTGGGATTGGGCTGGCCTGCCAGGCTGCGCTATAGTCCCAGCAGTCGGTGGGCCTATAGTATAGATATCCAATGCTGGCAAAGCCCACTTTACTAATTTTATGTAAACGAGGGTCTCCTTCGTTTGAAACTGATTCGATTGCGTCACCTCGCCAGTTTTACTGTTTATACAGTTTGCCGTGATGGCCTTTGCACCGTGCACCAAGCTTTTCACCAGGTTTCTATAATCAGCCACGTTGTAGCTCATCGCCTGTGACGAAGGAAATCCAAATTTAGACTTCCCGGACTCTTTCTCTTCGTTCAAATCGGCTATAACAGGCTTCACGTCTTCTGTTTTTATATCTAACGCAGGCGGTGTCATCTGTTTAGCCTTGTTTCGTAAAATCGGTATATAAATCTTCGCTATAGTCTTGAATTTCAAAACGAATACGAGTAAAATCCTCATTAAAAGCTCTCTGCCCTGGGTGCTGTTCTCTGCATCTGACCTTTGCCTCACAGTGTCCACCAGATTCATTAATAATTTACAAGATACCATCTGAACGGCTGTTGGGAGACTCTGATCCAATAAATTTTTACTATAAAGATGTACAGCTCTGGATACATCGCTCAGTGGTAATAACAAACGAACGTGATGAACCAGATCTGCCAATGTCGAATAAGCCAGAGGCCTGAGAGATTCGTGAGTGGTCCAGCCTCGTCCGATGAAGATATCTTCGTCGAAGAAGCACTCCATGTGCGGTATGAATTTGTTTCGCAGATCCGTGGCCAGAATGTGCCTCGACGCGATTACTAATTCCTTTCTCAAGTGCGCCACTTCCATCGGGCACAATGTGAATAAGCCTAGGATACCTTTTACCAGTATCGAGCTGTGTTGAGATACTACATCTTGATAAACCCTGATTACGTAGGCCAGGAACGACAGGGTTTTGATTTGGGCGCCCATAAAGTCAACGAAGACTTCTTTATTAAAGCCAGGGGATGCCCTGTGCTGGGGACTTGGCTGCAAAGTTATAATTGTTATCACGAGTGGTATGAAGTCGGATACGTCCTGGTGGACATTCTGCTTGTACAACTGGTTCATAAGTACAACTATAATAGGCAGTTCCTGAAGAACTTTGAGAGACAGCACCGCTTTTGGTATTAGATTATACTGAAAGGAAATATCACTTATAAGAATATTATTTTATTTGCTTTTAGTGTACTTTGGATAGTTACCGTCACTACAGTTCCGTCCGCTGTTTTCTTCTCGCTCTGTATGGCCGTGATCGTGAATGTTTCCTTCAACAGTGCATCTATATTTATTTCCGATAAATCTTTTACCCTCAGCGGTGGCCGAGGCTCGAATATTTTTGGCAAGTTCTTTGGTAACTCACTGTACACCGACTTCACAAATTGCAAAAAATACTGTATCTGTGAATAAAATATTTTTAGTAGAAAAACAACGTGACTGCAGTTATTCATAATTAAAGCATGTAAATACCTCTGGGTTAAAAGTCGGTTTGTACTGTTTGTGCAACTCGATGATGATCCTCAGACAAACCAGCACATTCTCTTCGTTATCAGTCTCCAATAATTTCGACATCAGACTTAAAATTTGTTTCACGTACGGACGTAGGCATTCATTACTGGGTAACCGGTGGATCATCTCTAAAATCAGTTTTCGAACTTGCTGAATATTGTACTCCGATATGAAATGCGGTTCACCCTCCTGAAGTATCTTTAAAAAGATCTTCATCATGTGATCAAGAAACGCTGGATATTGCGAAGAACACATGATGACCTGTAACAATAATTATACAGTGAAATTATCATTAATCTGTTTGTTGAAAAAAAATCGAACGTCAAGACAGCTCGTGGATTACTTCGAAGTTCTCCGACAATTCTTGAGCGGCCTTCAGTTTCAGTTCGTCTTTCGACACTGGATCGGCCAGCATGGTCACGTACGATCTGTACGTATTCATTTGCATCAACGGATCCGGCGGTGCCATTTTGATCGTACAATCAATGGTTCCTTTATCTGTGCTAACTCTGGTCCATTAGAAAACCTGAACAGTATTCGAGAACGTTATCATCTTGTTTCTCCAAATAAGACGATGCTACAAAAAAATTCGTTCAAACAAGAAGTTACAAAAAAATTTGAGGGAGAGAAAAAAATAAAATTGTTCTAAAGTTTCTTAAACTATTTACGTTCTTTCAAGTTTTTACTTCGGCGTTATTATACTTTAAAGAAATACGATAGCGCACTATAGTATTAAAATCAATGAGGAGCACATTGGGCTTCGTAAACAACCCCTGGCAACCACTTTGCTGTTTCTTATCGCCCACTCTTAAAATTGAACGTTTTGAATTAATTACATGTCCATCTGATAACAATTCCTCACGGGTTCGTGCCAGCTTCCTCGAATTCGTGAAAAGACGTATCGTAACTTACAATTAGCAATTGGTTCACGTGAGTGAGGGGGTGAAAGCGGAGATGTTAGGGGTGAAAGAATATATGTTCGCGACCTATAAATGCTCACGAAATTCCGGCTACGAACTCAGTACGTTTGCAATGTTGTTGCTAACTTGATGAAATCCATTGGCAAAATAAAAGTTCTATTTGAAGCGTACAAAAATGGATGAGGCTGTTATCGACTCGATCTTCGCGGGATCATTAAAATCCCTGCCACCTGTTAGCTCTAAAATCGTTAGAATTTTTACCAGCTCCACTTTCACTGGTGAGTCAATAAATAAATAAATAAATTGCATTTTTTTTCAACGCATTGGGTAATTTTAATTAAGACACAACGATGGAGAGGAACACGTTGATGGCGCAATGTTACCCCAAGATCAAAGACTATTGCAGAGAAAAACATGGATTGGAGTTTCAGGTAATAGTCAATTACGATATCTAAAACTTGAATTAAAAATCCGAATTCAATGTGTTTCACTGTGTGAATTTGAAGACGCAGTAGTAGTGAATCAAAATCTGTACTATACAAGCACTGTGTGACGACCTTGAAGAATTGATTTTTATTGGTACCAGGCACCGATCCTCGTGCATATACATATGTAAAACTTTCCTAAAGTTCAAGAAATGCACTCCTGGTTTTAGGCTCTGAATTTAAATCAAGCGAAGTAATTATTCGAATTGCAAATAATTATAGGTGGTTGATATGAGATGGGGCGTGAGGGACGAAGCCACCGACGATCACATGACAACAGAACTGTGCATGAGGGAAATTGAGAATTGCCAGAGGCTCTCGATGGGCCCGAATTTTGTGGTAGGAAATAATAAAAATTAATTTCAGAATTAAAAATGATTAGAACATAAAATGAATAAAAATATTTCTAAGGTATTTCTTGGGCAAAAATATGGCTATCGTCCTATCCCGACGTACATCGTCAGTTCAGAATTAGAAATGATACATGCAGAATTAGAAAGTCAAGGGGTGGACGTAAGTCTTTTTGATAAATGGTACAAAAAGGACAGCAACGCGGTGCCACCGACGAGTATCCTGCAACCGATATCATCGATCTTGAAAAACTTTAACAATAAAGTAATAAAGCCTCCAAAGTAGTTAATATAGAAAAAATATAACATACAAAAAACTGTACGACTTCTAATGTAATTTAGAGAATACCGAAATTGCAACAAGAGGACCAGGCCATTTGGTGGGACACGATGGTAAAAATGCAGAAACTATTTCGAAAGGGTGCGCAATCATTGTTCAACAATGGCAAATTCGACAAAGACACTATGCATAATTACTTCATGTCAGGTAGAGAACTAAAACGAAAGCAAGCATTTGATATTAAATAACTCTCGTCTTTCATCAGTTACTGAAAGAGAAGTGATCAATGGTGTATTGAACGTAAAGAACACCAAAAATCACTGTCTGGCGTATATAAGGTACATAAACAACATCAATCTGCAAAACTTGAGAAAAGCGAATTTGTTCTTGGATATTGCTAACAGAAGCTTGGACAACGAAGCTTCGAAATTATTAGCAAATCTGAGGGATGAGAGGCTCCCCGCGAAAATCGAAAGCACGAACATGCAGAGGTAAATCTGATGAAATAAGGATCATAAAAATGATCCAATTTCTATTCACATAATCAATAAATGGAAACTGTGAGATACATTATACTTCAGTTATTTAAAAATGGCTACCCCTAATTACTGTTACGTTGATTCGTTGAAGGTATACTGTGGAATGGATAGGAAGAGAAGGTTTAGATCCAGAAACTCACAGTGAATATCTTCAACATTTCATAACGCATTTCTACCGAAACATCGTGAAACTAGTAGATCGCGCGATGAGGAAAGAAGACAGTTCCGCCCAGGGACAGATAATAACAGAAATGTTACAGCATCTGCACGCGTGCAACAATTCTGTCAGAGTAAGTGTGATAAAATATAAATAATTTAGAAAGACACTTGGATGAAGAATGTTTCAGGTATTTTATGGCAGGGAGGACACGTTGGTGTGTATCAAAGAGTACATGTTGGGCGATAGCGATAAGCCTTTGGTGTTATACGGAGAGGGTGGATGCGGGAAAACTTCTTTACTAGCAAAGAGCGCAGGTTTGACGAACAGCGCGTGGCTCACTGACAAAAAGCCAATAAACATAATTCGATTCCTTGGCACCACACCAGACAGCAGCGCGCTAACTCCCATGTTGATTTCAATTTGTCAACAAGTAAGCTATTAGATTATGAATGGATTGAGAATTTTATTCGGTGGATATAATAAAATTTACAAAATATGAGCAAAATACACAAAATTAGGATTTTACAGCAAATTTGCATGGAACAAATGCAGTAAATAAAATAATTGACATAAATCTTCCCATACAAAATCCTAAAAATGAAATATTTGATTTTGCGTGAAAATCCGCAGTTCAATTTTTGAAGAATAAATCTTAATTTTTAAATTCATATTGCGGATNTGAACCAGGAAGATGTAATGAGAGGTCTTCTTTAGATTTCGTACAACTTTATGCTACCATTCGAAGAAATCCCGGATGATTTAGTACCACTGACTGCTTACTTCAAATATTTATTAACTCTGGCAACAACTGAGCAGCCGATTCTACTGTTTTTGGATAGCGTCGATCAATTAACAGGAGTTCAGGGAAACAAACTGTCTTGGTTGCCTACTAGACTTCCGGCAAATTGCAAAGTACGAAATTGATTTATACTTCAATAAAGGGTTGGACATTAATATTGTCGATCGTCCCTTAGATGATTCTGTCATGCGCTGCTGAAGAATCGAACCCCGTTATCTCTCGCGATTATCAATTATTGCGCCGTATAATAGACACCGAGGAACATTTTATTGAAGTCGTTGCCTTAGGCGAAGACCTTGCCATGGAAGTGATAAGGTATTAAAAAAAATTTATAAGAACCGAAATTATTTTCTTAGCAATCCAATAGATACAATATCCTAAGAAAAAGATAATCTTGATAGGATGTGGATGAAAACAGCTCACAGGGATTTAAACAATTACCAATGGCGTCTTGTGGCGAACGCGATATCGAAATGCTCGTTACCAATTTTCGTGAAATTAGTATTCGCCGAGATCTGCAGGTGGAGAAGCTACACGAAACCAGCTGACACGCATTTAACATCCACGGTGATGGACAGTATCATGATGCTGTTCGAAAGGATTGAAAAGCAGCATGGAAAAATATTGGTTTTCCATGCATTGGCTTATATCACCGCTGCAAAGTCGGGTTTGTCAGAATCCGAGCTTGAAGATTTGATCTCGTTGGACGACAAGGTTTTGGACGACGTGTACCAATACCATTTACCCCCGGTTAGACGAATCCCACCGTTGCTCTGGACCAGAATACGAAACGATTTACCTAATTATTTGAGCGAGAGGGAAGCCGACGGCGTTAGCGTTCTTAATTGGTACCACAGACAATTCCGGGACACGGCTAAGGAAAGATACTTCAAGAACATGAACATGGCTATGTACTTCCATTCGATGATCGCTGACTATTACCTTGGCATATGGGGAGGTGGACGACCGAAACCGTTCAAATATACAGAAATTCAGAGGCATCGGTAGATAATTAATCCTTTAAGGATTCTGTTTAGGTAGATATCAAGGTAGTTCAGTGCGATGATTCGATTTACAGATTTAATTTAGCAGACAAGGAAGGTGTGGCAGATAGGAAGGTACCAGAACAGCCGTTGGCATTTTACTCGAAAGAAGGAACCATAACAAGATATAATTTAAGAAAGGTAAAGAAAATAATTACGACTTACTCGATTGATTAATATTAATCGACACTTCTATCGCGTTCCTACCTTAAAAAAAATTATTGTCCTTATAATTAAACATTTGTAGTAGTGATTTAGTGTTAATGTAATAATTTTCTACATTTAGTTCGGTGAATTGCCTTTCCATTTGGTCCGGTCAAGACGATTTAACGATTTGTTCGAAAACGTACTCTTCAACTACGAATGGCTTCATGCGAAGCTAAGCTCCTGTCCACTGCAAGCGGTGCTCTCAGATTTTGAAGACGCGTGCAATTTCATCGATAACCAAAGCATTGTCAGGTAAAACGCGAGAAGAACATCTAAATTAGATTAGAAGAATTTTCAGCGATTCATGACAACAAGTGGTTGTCCTATTTTAGAGAACTTATGTTGGTCGCTGACGCGCTGCGTTTAGGTGGTGCAATTTTGGGTTCCCACCCAAATATGCTTGCGCCACAATTAATAGGTCGATTGTTACCGGAAATCGGTGGGAACGTGAACGTGAAAATGCTTCTTAGGGCCTGTGACAACGACGGCGCGAAGAACTGCGCCTTGCTTCCGGTTTATCATTGTCTGCACACTCCCGGAGGGCCGCTAAAAGTATTCGACCTGAGAATAATTGAAAACTGTTTCGCCTAATTCTGTAAATATTTCAGTACTCGTTGGAGGGCCATCAGTTCGCTGTATTCGGGTTTTGCCTAACGTCGGATTACCGTCATGTCGTGTCGATATCCAACCGATTTATCACCTGGGATTTAAGCACCAGCGACATGACCAGGGACGTGAATCCTGGGGTAGAGGGAATCATGCAGAACCTTGTACTGAGTCCTGATAACAGATACGCCACCGCGTTTACCACTAACAACCAGGTACTCATAGTTCTTCCAATTCTTATTTGAAATAGCGATAAATATTTCGTCAAAAAACAAATACGAGGCTGATTTTCTCTAAACAGAGCGTCGTTTTAAACACCCTGACGAGTGAATTCGTTATAATCGATAACCCGCTTCCAAACGAGGATCCAGTTTACGGAGTCCATATGACAAATCAGTTTGTCTTCGTGTATGGAAAGTTAGGCTGGTGCAGATTTGACCTGCGTGGAAACTTGCTAGAAACGCGTACGAATCCGGAGGATTCTAACAAGTGGCCAATTCTGCGTAAGTCGAACAAAAGAAAACTGATCGGTTTAGAAAATTCTAAGAGGTGTTGTCAACCAACAGGTGTGGAACACGCGAATCTGAACGATTATATAATAATATTCTGGTCTGGGAACATAGAAGAGACCAATATGCTCTTGCACACTTACAGGAAGAAGGGACCTCTAGACCCTTTGTTATTCCATAGGTGAAATTAATTCAGGAAATCTCGATTCTGTTTTATGTTCTATGCTTATCCATATTTATTTTGCAGCGTTATAGTTATGACAAAGAATAAGACCGTTCTTTACGCTTGTACCACGAAAGACGATTACCGAGTTACGAAGTACACTTGCGACGAAACCTCATCCCAATGGGAGAGAGCCTTCGATATGCCACGGGCTTTTAACGATGATATTGAGTACTTGTTACAGTTGAAACTCGACCGAGAAGAGGAAATGCTTTTGGCCACCAGTGCCAACGGTTTCGTCGTCTGGTTCTTAGAAAGCAAGAGCGACGCTTACGTTCTGATGTTGCCGAACGGAGTTCGTAACATCCGTACTAAGATGTTGTGCTCGAATTCGATCATGGTCAGTGGTACCAAAAATTATGCGGTCGCCGGTGTGAGGTACGTCCAGGGTTCCAGATTTTGTAATTCTCGCATCAACAATTAACGATTAAATTTTTCTAAATTGGAGGATTCATTAATTTATAATTAAAACGTGATCGCTAATTCGCATTTCCTCCAATTAATTAATTTCAATTCTGAATCAAAATCGAAAACCGAATGTTAGTTGCCAATTAGTATTCAACTGAATTAAGGATGTATTGGCTATACAGTCAATCCCAAAAGTTTATGCACTTTAGAAACACATTTTTTTAAAAGAAATCAGACGTCGGAAGAACATTGCT